TCGACATCCCCACCAATTTCACCACTACCAGCCGAAAACGCTGCCGGGACAACGAAGAAGAGGAGCAACAGTTCCATGCCGCCAAGAAAACCCGCCAGCTGCAAGCGCGTCCACACCTCTCTGCCGACGCGTTCCCTGCCCTCTTCGCGACGACTTTACCAGGAGCAGCATCACGTGACTTTCTGTCAGCAGCTTCCACGCCATCACCATCAACATCCTCCCAAAACTCCCCATTTTTGAGGCCAACTCAGACATTCATGCAAACTCCCTCTCCGGCGGCGCTGCATGAGGTGGAAGACCCAATGATGGGGATGCAGATGCAGGGGATGGATTGGCAGCCCCCTGTTCAACTCCAACAGCAGCAGCAACAACAGCTACAGCAACAGATTCAAATGCAAAATCAGGGGCAATGGCAAGACCAAGTGGAAACTGAGAATAGAGGGACGATCATCTCGAGCTTGAACCAGGCGGCGAGAAGACAAAATGTTGCGATGCTGGCCAAGAGGGACATCCCGGGCTTGTCGTATGGGAGTTATGGGTGTTATTTGCCTTATTCTAGCTGATTTTCTCCTCTCATTGATGGTATTAGGGCTTGAGGTCTGGTTGTCTGGGCGGTGTCTGGTAATAGGATCTGCTATTAGCATCATGGTTATCGTATGGTGTCGTTGGCGCTGGGACCACTGGGTTATTAGCAGCACAGGTTTTTCCCTTGCTTTTGTTTTCCTTGATAGGTATTTTTGGAGTATGGGTCAAACTTTTGGATATTATTCCGACTCTGGGACTCCGGCTGTTGGTTTTCGTTTGGTTTCTTTCCAGTTTCAAAAGTTTTCAATCATCCAACCCTGCGCCTTGGACGGGGCTTAATTCAGCCACGAGTCTTTTTTCAGTTTTTGTTTTGGAAATTCAGGGGCGTTTTTTTTTTCAGCCGTCGAGGCTTAGATAGCACGCTTTGTTTCCTCAACACGCAAGGCAACAAACAATAGGGAAGCAAAGAGTCATGGAGTTATTTACAAGTCGCTTAAAGGGATCTTCTTATTTCGTAACTATCTAGCTAGCTGGGTTGGCATCACCCATCTTCGTTTCATGGGGAATCAATCTACTTCATCTCATCTGTTCATCAGGATGAAAAAAATATATATAAACAAAACAAAAAGACAAAAGAAAATATACAAGCTGGCAGTTTTTGCCGTGTCCAAATGATGCAAATCCAAATCCCTCCCACCCCGATGCAATGCAATGCAAAATGTCCAAATCAAAAACCCAATGTCCCAAACTCCATGCCCGTGCCTATCCCAGAGAATCACAAACGAAAGAAATGATGCAGGGAGACATGCTAAGAAGGCTGATGCAAATCGTCCTCCCCTCCCGTCTCGGCCGCCTGCCAGAGCATACTGCTCAACCCCAGCTCCACGACCCCCTTCTTTGTCCTCGAGCACTTCCCCTCCACCGTGCGCATGTACGGCTGCTCCCAAGTTTCCACAAAAGTGACGTGCTGGTGCAATTTCAGCACCGCCCTGGGGCTAATCATCTGCCCGTGCTTCTCCCTCTTTCTCCCCGGAGCGTCTTCGTCATCCCAGTCGGCTTCTTCTTCCTCTTCGTACTGGACAGGGTTCACAATCTCCACCATGGCGGTCTTCTTTCCGTTGGGGACAGAAACTTCCACCCGGCCGGGGTTCTCCCACTTCATCTTGGCGATCTCGAGCAAGTCATTCTTCTCCTCGTCGTCGTCTGTCTGGCGGGGTTCTTCCTGGCACAGCTCCATCCACACGGCCTTGCTGCCGCCGTCGACGATGACGCGGACCACAAACCCGCACTTGAGGTGGCGGTTCCAGAATGTAACCACGCAGAGCTGATACAGAACCCGAGCGTCGATGGAGGATACCCGCATGGTGGAGTACTCCTTGTTCCACTGGGCGTGTTTGGCTCGGATGTCGATGACTTCGTACCCTGGGGGAACAAGGTCGGGGAACTTGAGGAAGAGGATCTCTTCCGCTGCTTTGAATGTCGCGGGGGAGGCAGCGCCGGAGATGTTGGGGATGTACATCGTCTTGGGCTTAGCCTGGGCCAGGTCCTTGGAAGAGACGATGGTGGGTTTGCGAGTGCGGGTGCGGAGGAGGACGTTGGGGGAGGTGGATTCTGTTAGTAAGAGACCAATACGGGAAGAGGCATCGCCTTCGAGGTGGCAGTTGAGGACGCCCATAAAGTGTTTTTGCCCGACCAGACCGAATTTGGTGGTGCGCACGACGTTGAGCTGAATGCGCAGGCCCTTGTTGGTGAGGGTGTGGTCGGCGATATCTTGCGTCGAGGGAGCTGCGCAGACAACGCGGTCCATTCCTGCGAAATCGGCGGGGGAGCGAGCGAGAACGCCAGTGGTGCCGGAGAGCTCGTCAAAGTCGAGGTCGTCCGGGTTGACATCACCCGCGGAAGACGGGCGCTGGGTGGTGTCGTCTTCCTTGCCCAAAGCGCCCCAGGCAAAGATGGAGTGGTCGTCGGATCGCCGGATGATTTCCTCCTGTAACCTCAGGAACGCATTCTCCCCCTCGCCGTAGATGATGGGCAGGTTGATGCCAAAGAGACCGAGCATGCAGTACGCGGTGTCCTCGACCCGCGTGCATGACCGCGCAGACGCCCATGACATGCGCTGGGCGATGCTAGCGCTGTGGACGAGACGCGGTTCGAGCAGGGTGAGCTCGTCGATCTTGGTGATTTGTGCGACCTTCTTGACGAGAGACGACTTGGTGCCCAGCAACTTCCACCCCTTGGCATAAAACACAAGCCTCTTCGGGGCCAACAGTTCTTGCAGAGTCCAGCCCCTCTTAAACCAGCGGCATGCAACAAAGTCGTGTTCCCAGGTCCTGTAGCCGGCGCTGAAGTTTCCTGATTGAACGTCTTCCAGAAAAGCGTAGCACACGGCGGCTTTTTGGTAGTAGTTGAACATGGAGTTTAATGCCTCAGTGAGCTCTCCAGAGTTGCGCTTGTCGATGCAGCAGGTATCGACCCAGACGTACTGGTACCCGTCCTTTGCTGCTTGGTCGCAGGCGAACTGGATCTTGGTGTACCCTGCCTTGAGCTCCGTCGCGTGCCTTTCCTCGGCGACGGAGGCGGTGGGACTGGCCATGGGCGTAGCTGCGGGGGTGGCTGCCGGACTTGTCGTCGTTGATCGGATTTCCTCTTCGATTTCTCGGATCTGTTTTGTGCTGGGGAAGCCAACCTCGAAACCGGTCAATTCGCCGGTGAGTGACGGGTAGGATGACCCCAGAGCCAGGGGTGTTGCTCGTGCGAAGCGGTTTGGTTGCCCTCGGAAGGCCATCAACATATTGGCGAGGAGCATGAGGCGCATCGCGTCGGATTTGTCGGCGTTCTTTGCGCGAGTGAGGAGGTTGTGTGTGGGTCCATCGCTGAGTGCTGGATGTGATGAAAGCGCGGATGAGAGTGCTGAAGCGAATAATGGTGGTGGTGGCGGCGGCGGTGGTGGTGGTGCTGAGAGAGGTTGTAATATTTGCTGTGGTGGTGGTGCTTTTCGCCATTGTGACAATGACTCCATGTCGACATACGAGACCTCGTCGGGGCCCCATGTGTGTGAGAGAATCGCATATGTCGGAATGTCGGTGAAGAATTCCTCCACCTCGCGGGTGGTGACATTGATGAGTTTCATTGCAGTGTTATGAGCGTATCATGAATGTTGTATTTTGAATCGAAATAGATTTGTTATGAGAAAGAAAAGAAGAAAGAACACAAAAAGGAGGTCAAGATGGCGGATATTTGAAATGGTCCGCTTCAGGAGGGAAATCTGGAGACTGATGCATGCAGAGGTTGGAGCAGGCCAATTGAAGCTATTTTGGAGACCATGCAAGACCATCGTGGTCCAATCAAAAATTGCAACGACGTTGACCAAGCCAAGCCTATGGATGCACCTCATTGTCAGGTGCAGGACTCGGTCGGGCTCCAACTCCACATGCGTGGAGCGACCCGAGCGGGCTAAAAGTGACCAGGTCGAGAAGTCTTGGGCAGGAACAGGAGGAACCATTTCCAAGCTTGACTCCTTCGAAGCGGAACAGCTGGTCGTCGAGTCGACGAGGTGGCACCAACAGTTAAACAGACCATCGATGAAGCCTTCGAGAATCCCGAAACGTCTCCTGACTTGCACTCAACTGGGCAATGTTGTTGGACAAACTAGCATCCGGTCAATGGCCCAACTGCTTCATACGTAGGGCTTGGTAGGAATTGGCATGATGATTGCTCGAGAGCGTTTATCTGTGACGCAAGCGCCGGCACATGGGATCTTTCGACGCGGGGTGCGCCGTCGACTGACGGACAAGGTGAGTGCTTTGCTGGCCCGTCTCCAGCGTCTGCATGCATGGTCAGACGGTTCCGTCTGGGAAAAGTGAGGCTTTTGATACGCAGCCACGGCAGCACCTCCGGATGCTGGTCTCGAGTGGAGATGTTTTGCATGCCCTTCTCTGGAGGGGCAACGGAACCCGGCTCTGTCTCGGGCCTCGGATTGTGGACTCGTGGTCCATGGATGCATGTTTGCTGCATGTCTCGTCGTGGTGCCAGGGGCAGAGAAGACCATCATGGGCACCAGGCCACGTTGAGAGTGACTCATCTCAAAAACATAGTTCCTGCAGGGAGCCAGCACCCAATGGAGGAGATCACGGCGACACATGCAGTCGTGACAGACTTCAACGTGCTGCAACATCCCGACCTCTTCCAGCGGGATGGAATCTGGGGATATTCGGAAGAAGTTTCCACTGTTCTGCGGTCCATACTCCATACAAATCACCCATGACGTCCTCGACGCGTCTCGAGCCACCGAATTTCTTCACCGCCGCGAGCTCAGTGGACCGTGGCCGCTCACCGCTCCTGCTCCACTTAAAAACATCAAAGCATCCACTTCACTGTGCGAGAATTTTTTTCCATCTGCATAATATTTCAGGGATCACTATCGTGCGTCTTGGATTGAGCTCCTGATGAAAATCAACATCGAAAAGCATCGAGCAGCCCGGCTGGCGCAATCGGTAGCGCGCAAGACTTCTACTTCAACAATCTTGATTCAAGGAATTTGATATCTTGAGGCTGTGGGTTCGAGTCCCACGTCGGGTGCATATTTATTTTGCCTTTATTTTGATGCCCGTTGGATTTTGCTGCTTCTGTTTTATCCATGATGATGCCTTTTTGTGGTGGCGGTGACGATGATGTGCGTGGATGATATGTTTGCTCTAACATCACACATGTGCGTCCCCCACACGCAGCCCTGTACTAGTGTTTCACGAGTGCTCTTCATTGGAACACCAGGCAAACCTCGGGGACAGTGAGTAAGATATACTCAAACCGAATTTTAAATTTTGCTGTAGAGCTGCCGAAACCAATCCCGACGCCAGCCCACGACCATCGTCTACTTTGGTATCCATCTATGTTCGTTCTTAGTACCCAACCCATACCAACGCCAAAATCATGATCATGAAAGCAAACAACTCGTTGTACGGCTATTCAAACCTGAGTGACTTCCGCCTTGGGCAATCTCCTTCGACTCTCGATAATACCCCAGGCGATCAACCCAACCGTCACAAAATCCAATATCGCAACCACCAGCCCAGCATACCAAGCTGCCCCAAGCTGCTTGCACATGACATTCATATCCACCTTGTCCGTCACAAACCCTTTCGTACATGTCCATGACCTATCGTTCCCCATCGTCAGCCCGGGCTCTATGTCTTTCAAGAAGGGGAAGAAACTCACCATAAATCCCACTCAACCTTCCCCCCGCGCTCATAACTCTTGAAGTAAACCAGCGCAGCAATCCACACCCCCCAAACCACAGCTACCAAACCTAGGGTTGCCCACCTCGCCCCTCCGGATCCCTTAAGCTTCGGCACAACAGAAACAGCCAGCAGCACGCCGCTCTCAAGCAACGCAAGCCCTGCCGCCGCAAAGAAGATGTAAACAGGATAAACCCTCAAATTCTTCGTCCAGACCCGCGTTTGCGCTGCCCCCAGCTGCCCTTGTGTGATATTCGCCGCGACAAAGTCTTCTTTACTCGAATTATACCGTTCTGTAACGTATGCCAACAAACTGATTATCGATAAAGCGAGGAGGATGGTGAGGACTCGGAACACGATATTCGCTACTGCCGTGACACGCCCGTGCCGGGAAGCCATTGCCTGCAGTGGTTGATGGTTCTTGCGGACGGTAATCACCTCCGGGCCAGCTTTTTCCAACGAGTTACCGCCCCGGCGGTGGGAGTTTTCTTGCAAAACCAGTGCGGTGGGAATGGGTGTGGCGGGTGCTGGGCGCGGGGAGGAGTAGGAGGTATCCTCTTCTCCCTCTGGCATCATGTCTGCTTTGTTGGGGAGGTGTTCTACCGACAACTTGCTTCGAGGTTTCTTCTGGCTGACCTTGCTCGCGTTGCTGTGGTGCGTTTCCACGTGGGCGAGTGGTGAGCGGTGCGCGTCGCGAGTAAATGCTGCTCGGAGGGACTCGACCGAGTCTCGATCTAGGGTCCAGAGGGCACTCATCGTTGTTCTTTGTCTTTATCTGTACCTCAAGTGAGAAGTTTTGTTGGAGAACAAAGAGCCCAGGGGTCCGTCAGTTGGGAGATTTTTGCTTCCCACGGTAAATCCCACCCCAGGTTATATTTCCCGAAAAGACACAAAATTACTTCCACATTCGGGGCGGCGGCACTGTAGCCAACCTCACGTAATATCTGATGAGAAAGACACCGACAATAGAAAAGTTGGCGTTCTGTGCACCAGCAGTGCCACACGCTAGATGCTGACCCCCGGATTGTTGAAGGCGACAAAAGGGATTGTTTGAGCTGATGCAGCCAATCACTATCAACCAAGCGTTGTTTCAAAACATTCAAGCGCCGTGGTTGTGCATTAGATTCTTTGGATACTTAGCTGATCGGAGGGTTGAATCTCACGTTGCACGCTCCGCCACGCGATGGGTCGAAATTGTCAAAACGCTGCCCAGTGCGTTGACTGAGCGCAACGATTGAGCTTGGATAGAATATCCTGATAAAGTTCAGCTCGGTGTTACGGGTTGCCGTTCTTGTACATACCTAGTCGTCGCCGGCTTCAGCCACTGCCATGCGGGAGCATCGGCGGGTTAGTCATCTTGAAGCAATTTGCATCCATCATCTTGAACCTGCAAGATGTGTGAATAATGGGGACTAAGGGTGTGATCTTTTCAACTAGACGTCTGTCAATAAATCCTTTACACCTGCAAATTTCTACTAGAATGTATTAATAAAATTAATACCACGAATGCTTCTTAACCTTATAACGTTATGCGTCTACCTTTTTTATATATACCTATAGTGTTTTTGTAAATGTGTAGAAGGCCGAGTTGGTACGCATGTAGCAGAAAAGATTATGCCTCCCACAAAGAGTAGTCCCCATTATTCACACAACCTGGTATCTGTAATTCTTCTACTCATTCCATTCCACTCCAAGAATCTTACTTAACATTGCCAACATCCAATCACTTCGCTCCCACTCTTTCCTGTAACAACTTGCCCAAACTATCCACATAAACCCCATGCTTCCCCCTCATCATCCCACCAGCCCCCATCATAACAACCCAATTGGCAATCAACCCTGCCTCCAGCGTCACCTTCTCTTCGTCCACAGTCCACTCCTCCAAAATCGTCAGCCCTATCGGCGGGACGGTCTTGACGATCCTCACCCCCTTGTCAAAGTTCCGGAACTCAAGGGGCACCTCAATGCTGGTGTCCCATAGCCCAAAGGGCAGGACGGTGACTTTGTCTCTGACGTTGTAGAGAACCACCTCGGGATCTGCTGACGGGATCTCGTCGGATTGCATCGCGAATGGGGATAACGAAATGACATCCAGCGGGGAGTGGAGGGCCGCGATGGCGTCGGCGGGGGTTACGCCGGTGGGGAGGGGGAGGGTGAGGGTGTATTTTTCTGAGGGCATTTTGGTCTTTCTCATAGTAGAATTGTAGGTGTTGTGTGGTGAAAAGTTGGTGACGGGCGGTGGTGAGGGATTTCGCGACGCTATTTGGTGGTTCAGGGGTTGGTGATAGCTTCAACCGAGGTGCCCCACTTTCACCGTCCTCAAAACGAGTTGCAGGGCGAAAAGGAAACAAAATAAATCAAGTGAATGTTGTTTGGATAAATATAGAGAGAAGGAAGTCGGCAAAAGGCAACCATCTGAACGTTTTACTAGTAGCTGCAGCTTCCCGTCTTTGTGGGTATTCCCGATGGACTAGTATCGTCACAAGCTCCCCAATCCGGCTTCGCGCTTACTCAGTAGGGCATCACGGACGAACCTCGGAGATATATGACGGCCTACACACTGTGACATTGTAACGGCAAATGCACGTGTAAGTGACAAGGCTACGAAGATGTTCGACGACACTAATGATCATTGATGCAGGAAAACTTGATGTGCGATCTGAACCGAATTAAAACCCTTGACGATCCCTCATGCCTCGCGATCATATAGTTCCTCTAAAGTGCGCCCAAGAAGATAATTACAAGAGCTAAAGTTTCTTCCCGTCCCGTTTACCCCTGAACGGGATCCTGTCCCATCCAGTTACCAAATCCAAAACTCCGCCATAGTGAAAACTCCAAAATATCTTTCCCCTACTGATTCAAGTTCCTCGAGAAATTCTTAACCATCCTAACACCCCCCATCTCTACATCCCCATCCACCTTTTCCTCCCGCTCATATATCTCCACCCTCCCTCCTATCCCCTCCTCCTCCTTTGTTGGCAACCAATCACTAGCCGGCGAAGAAACCCGTTCCAGTTCAACCGTAACCGTAACCCCCAGCCCCGTCCGACTCTCCCTCGTCACAGTACAACTCCCATCATTAAAAGCCCTATTAGACTCTGAACTCCCACTCTTATGCAACACCTTTCGTTCCCTGGACTTCTTCCACCCCGACGACCTCGACCCCGACGAGAAGTCAGACCGGTTCCCCGACGACCCTTCCGAATTCGATGAAGAGAAGTAATGCGGCAAAACATAACTCAGTGGCAGCCTACAAACCGGCAAACACGCACAGATAATCGCCAAGTTCTCCTCAATCATGGTCCAGATACTCGACTCGATATCATACGTCACATCCGGGCTTGTTGACGAAAAGTTCAGCGTCTGCATCCTCAGGATGCTCGTAATCGTGGTAAACAACCCCAACGCGAAAACCACCATTAACGCAATTTTTTGCGATCGGGGGAGGTGGGAGGTATAGAGCGGGTACATCGGCAGGGCCAGAATGATCACGTCGGTGGCGATGGAGAACCCTGCGTTGGCGTACCAGTTTGCTGTTATCGAAATACAGGTTCCAGGGATGGATTTATCCCAGGCGCGGGGGATGGGGCTGCACTGCCAGATGGAGGAGGCGGTGGTGCCGACCATGTAAGCCAAAATGAGGACAAGGAGGACGAGGCAGCAGCGCTTGAAGAAGATTTTCGGGAAGATCCGCAGGTAGAGTAGGAGGATGGAGGATTTGGTTAGGTTGATTGTTAGTTTGTAGAAGGCTTGGGCTACGTAGAAGAGCTTGACACCAAAAGATTAGTAGGGTTGACCAGGGGGAAATGGGGGAAGAAAAGTCCATACCTTGAGCGTCATGAGCCGGTTGGGCTTGGAGAGATTGGCAATGTGTTGGCCGAACCCGTATGTGCAGGAGGCTACCATGAGACCCATTACTATTGTTGCGAATATCTTTCTCGGTTGTCAGTATTGAGGTTGAAGTTGTACGGACAGAATAAGTGCAACACACCCAAGCAGCAACAATCGACCAGTCATCCCACCCAAACCCAGACCACCCCCTCAGCTTCATTCGAGCCCATAGCCGTATCCCGACGAAAAGTGGTGTAAAGATGAAGAAGATGACGCAGGGTACCACGATCTGGTAAGCCCTATTATCACCTGGTAGGTTTCCCGACATGTTTTCTTCTATCGTTTTCATGCAGCTGTCCGTCGTGCAGATGTCGGTTTCTCCGACTGAAGAAATATATGCAATGCGACGAGGATCCAGATCGGTGGGACGAAACAGGGCCAGAAGAATGGAATGAACTCCCCCCAGCCTGGTTATATCTTTAGAAAACCTTCACCCGTGTCAAGACATTTCTT